GATTTATTAGCAAGATGAAATGTCTGACTTGATGCTCTAACATTATAGTTCTAATATTAATAATTGCAGGAACTGTACTTTCTATCACGTTTACAAATAGTTCCTTTCTACATACTTTCATAAATGTAGACAAAGTGTTTCTGCCTATCTTGTTCATTAATGTGCTTTCTATGAAGTGAATAGATAACAATAAAATCACCATTTTCCATTTTGCATTTTTAAGACGTTTTTGATTTAGAGCATATATGCTCACCGGAAAGAGAGACACAGAGATAGTAAGATGGGAAGTAAGAAATTACACCCCAGGGGGAATGGCCACACTGCAATCCCTTCTGCTCCATATTCCTTCCAGGTTCTTGGGCACACATGCACATGCACCCAGTATGATTTTGAAGAAACTGGGTCTGGGACTTGAACCGGGCCTAGCCATGTGGAATTCCAGCAACATAACCGCTATGCCATCTGCTGGCCCCCTAGTTAATATTTTTAATAAATCACGTGACATAAAAGTTTAAAACATTTTTATTACTATCATTTGGGGGAAGTGATAAAGTATTGATTCACGTAGTTCTTACTGATATAATTGCTAGTAAAATACAGTAAAAAAAAAAAAAAGATTATTTACCATTCTCAAAAGGAGCACATACATGACACAAAGGGAATAAAACTATAGTCACTTGAATTATTGAAGCAAATAATTAAAACTTATCTTTTGAGGGGCTGGCAGGTGGCATGGTGGCTAAAGGCATTGGACTCCCACATGGCTTCCGGCAATTAGAGTCCTGGACCTGGCTGCTTGCTTTCTCACTCTCTCTCTCTTTCTCTCTCTCTCTGTCCCTCTCTGGTCAAATTAAAAATAAGTAAATAAATAAATAAAGTTAAATAAAATAATTCTTTTAAAAAATTATCTTTTGAAAGGGAAAAAAAAATCAAGGGTGTAGAGTAAAGTACAAAGTTCTGCAAGGCAAACCCATATGCAAAGGTGGTTGGTTTATGACCAGAGACCTCCTGAGTATGCAGGACATAGGAGAACCC